CACTCTTCCTTTCTGATTTCCTAGGGAATGACAGCCACACCCTTCCACAGGGCACTTCTTCGGAAGCAGCCACTGAAATGCCCACACAGCTGTCTGCAGTTGTCTGGCAGTGACCTCTGCACTCACAAGTTTGCTGTTCCCTTATGAAGTCTTTCCATGAGCCATGAAAAAAAAAAAAAAGCAAACTTCAGGAGAAACAAAACACTAGGGGTTTGCCTCTAAGTCACATGACTTGCCAAAGTCATTTCTACACATCTTCTCAAGTTTGTCTCTCTCCTCCAATGAGGAGAAAGGAGTTCATACATACAACTTGAGGGAAGTCTTTGTATTTTAAAAACATTAAACTGTGCATTTAAATTTTAATCATGCAAAGACTCTTTATGTTTAGGTTTTGTATTCAAACCACATTTTTCCTTGTGTTACTTTTTCTTTATTAATATAAATAGCTCCAGGAAAATCATATTTTATGGTTGCTTAAAAATTCCATGAATTTACTAAGCCACTCCATAAATTTCACATGCATTTGGGGGTTGGGGAATGCTCTTATAAATAAGGTAGAATTGCATGTTTGTATATGATGTGTCTCTTTTAATTAGGACTATGTCCTCAGAAGGTCTAGGATAGAGTAGGTCAAAGGATATGACATTTCAAAGGTAGCCAGATAAAGTTGGATGTTCATATTGCAGACTGTAGTCCAGTGGTGATTCGCAAATCAGCAGGCAGGGGACAACTAGCAAGAGAAGAAACCTCCTTTAAGCTATTTAAAAATCAACAGCTTATTTTTAACCCCCAAACCAAAACATGTAAAACCCACAGTTTCTTTAAAAGATTGCTCTCTACTTTATAGTCAAAGAATTTAAAGAATTATGATTTGTTAATAGGTTAATCCACAATGAACTATGTTCTAATGATTGACATGACTTAGGCTTATTTAGTGGATAAGACCTTTTCTTGTCATGTTTTCCTTAGGTAAGCAATCAGATACAGATTTCAGAGAAAAACATGGGGCGGGGGATAGAAAGATTCCTTAAATTTTACTTTCCAACTATAATAACTGCTAAAAAATACTTTTCTTATTAGATGATAAATTAAAGTTATCTTTTCCATACCAAGTTTTTATTTTCAAATGCACTTTAGAAATATTTCATATTAGCCTGGCGATGGTGGCACACACCTTTAATCCCTGAACTCAGGAGGCAGAGGCAGACGGATCTCTGTGAGTTCGAGGCCAGCTTGGTCTACAGAGCGAGTTCCAGGACAGGCTCCAAAAACAATACAGAGAAACCCTGTCTCGAAAAAATATATATATTTCATATTAATAAGGTAGATCATGGGGAGTAGGAAACAGCAACAGTCAAGGTAATTTATGATGCTATATGAAGAAGTAATTGTATGGCATGCACACAGCAGTAAACTTTTCCATCCACCCTGTCTCAGTTAATGAAGGTTTTTCCTTCAAAGATGAACCACTGTGGAGACTGAGTATATCATATACTAAGAGAGGAAAAGAAATTATAATTATTAGATATGGAAATATATGTATATATTTATACTTATTTATACATTCCATTTCCCCCATAGACCATTTGCTGAATAAAGTGAAATATACAGTTCCTTTTTCAGATTTATATGTGTGTGTGTGTGTGTGTGTGTGTGTGTGCGTGCGTGCATGCACATATACCTGAGCGTGCCTATAGAGGGCATTGGAGTCCTTGGGGTTGAATTGCAGACAGCTGTGAGCTACCCAACCTGAGCGCTAAGAACTGAACTCTGGTCTTCTGAAAGTGTTATCATGTGAGCCAACTTCTCAGACCCTATGGCCATTTCTTTATAATAAAAGAGAGATCAGTGGAATCATGCAACCTTGATAAATTTAAGTTGTAGTATATTTTTGTTTAATATACAAGTTCTTTCTGTTTGTTAATAATCCTTCCAAATATTACATATTACACTTCAAAACACTATGGTGGGCTTTTACTGTATGCAATTTGACATTGTTCAGCAACTGGGCATGTGATTATAACATATGATTTTATTTTGTCCTTAGAAAGACGTGCTTATTTTTATTAAACTAAGTAAGGTCTATTGAAATTAATAAACTTATTTTCATCTGTGTGTAGAACTTTTCTCTATACTTGCCCCCTGTAGGCAGATTGGAAATGAGATTCCTGGACCTAGAAATATAGTTTTGTGGTAGAGTGGTAGGTTTAATTCCCAGCACTGAGGGAGTGAAAGCATATAATATTCAAAAGGGCCCAATACTCACATATAAATACAAAATATGGAATCTGGTCTCACTTTTCACATACAATTTCAATTCTGTCTTCATTGTTTTGGTGTTGGGTCCATTTCTTTCAATCACTTTGTGCATATATTCAGGCTGTCAAGTGCCCTGTGCCCAGAAGACTGCCCACAAGATTAAGCTGCATCTGTACAGTTGATTAAGTGAGCATGCAGGAAACTGAATCTATGGCCAACAGCTCTGAAGTTCACTAGCATGCGCAGATGAGAATAAGCTCAATGTATGTTGTACTTGATTCTGGGAAGGGCATGTAAACCATGCCATGTCAGAGGAAGATGTCAAGAGGCTGGCCAAGTTTGAAGGATGTATTTCTAGGCCAAGTAATAGATCATTGACTAGAACAATTCTGCAAGATCTTCATGCCTCTATTTTTATTGTTTCTTGGTCAAACTTATTCATTTATCTATTTCCATGGTTACATACCATACCTGTTTACTAATGGAGTTTTCCTAGAGAGAAGAACATATGTGTTCAATAAAGGGGATAAGTTGACCAACTCCTTGAGAGGTGGGAATTTCACAGCTTCTTGAACTACCAGAGAGAGGAGAAAAAAAGAAAATCAACAAGAACATCATACATCTCTTCCGTGGCCTCTTTCTTCATTGGCATCTTATGTACCTTGCATCTCAGCGACTAGAATTTTCTTTAAAGTCCAAGAAGAGCAGCTTCCTGCCTTCCCCGGGCATGAGAAGGCGCCTCCTAGCCATCTAAAGTAGGAATGGAAAATAATCAGAGAATGCTCTAGATGGATTCTCCCAGTCAACCCAGATCCTATGTCCTCAGCCACTATCAGTAACAATAATGGAGTTGTCAACTAAAGTTATGTAAAAGGGAAGGTCTGATGCCTCTCACTGTCGAATCCCTCTGGATTTCCAGGGCTAATCACTTCTTTTCTACCGGTACTTCCTTCTGTAAGCATTTAAGTTTTGAAACTTGGACTGGTCCTCATATTTACCATTTTCCCCCAGTTTTAGGCATCTTCTATCATCCTCTATCTCCATTTCTGCCCTTTACAGTTTTATTATTCTTTATAGGATAAAAGCATATTAAGTCTGAAACAATACAGAGAAACCCTGTCTCATAAAAACCAAAAAAAAAAAAGCATATTAAGCAAGTGTCTGCTTGTTTAATCAATGCTAAGGTTTGAAAGTTTAGTCCCTTCCAAAATTCATGTTGAGATGGGCACCTCAAACTGAAACAATCTTCCTCCTGTGATCTATAAAAGTAATTATTCCTTGCTATGTTTACTTGGCAAACATGCTGAGTGATGTACACCTTCTATTGTCTCGAGCTCTGACTTAAAATTAAATTGCTGAGTTCCGAAAATGAAGTGTTGAAATGTATTCCCAAAGCATTAGATAGCCTTATTAAAACACACTTGCCTTCCACTTCGTACTGCATGATGAAGTGTTTCTACCAGAGGACACAGAAATCAAGTGACATCTCAGAAACAGTTAAAGGACCTTCACCATACAATGAGCCTGCAGGCTCCTTCTTCTTCCCAGCCTTGAGAAGTATGCAAAGTCAAATTCTGTCCTGTGTAATTTATCCCATCTATACTACTTTCTTACAACAGTAAAAATAATCTAAGACAACAGGTCTTAAGAAGGGTTATCACTTTTGTTCTACAAAGAATAGGTTGTAAAGGTAAATTGGCTGTGGAAGCATTGTGCCAAAGATCAGAGCTGAACAAGAAATAAACAACAAACTCCAGTATCAGGATTGTACTTCTCTAGAAATGTAACTAGACCAAAGGTTATGCTAGCCTAAAGACTAAGAACTTTCTTTCTGAATTACCTGGGACCTTTCATATGAGTTGACCCAAGCTCTAGTAGACAGTCTTGGCTAGAACTTGTTCTAGTAGACGATCTTGGGTTAGAGAAGTTGTTGGCTCTCCCTACCTCTGTTTGTCAATAACAAGAGAACAATACAGACTAAGTCACAATGAGCTGCTACAGAATAGTAAACAAAAGGATCTGTGATGTATTTTTTCACAGCTGTGGAAACTCCATGCTTGCCTTAGACAATGTTCACTAACCGTTTGTTTCGTGTGTCCAGTGAATTATTTGCTGAATGTTCTTCATGAGTCCAGCTCAGTGATCTGTCCTATAAGATTCAGTCTCCAATAGTTATAAATTTGTTATATTCAGTCTCCATTTCATTATGACTTGGACTACACCTTTACCACACATAGTCACATAACAATTTTAAATTAACACTAGAAAGTAAGAAAGCAATTGTGATCGCCACTCAATTTGGCATGTCTTAACTTTTAAATAGCTCCTGGATTTACTATTTTAGGAGACCCCCTCTCTAAACATGTGACTAAAAGTTAAACACACAAACAGATTATCTAGGAGTCTTCCTCTAGAGTCTCACTTTTTTTTAATAGAAATCATAAAGTCTACCAGTAAATAATTAAGGGCTTGTGAAAGGGCTTGATGGTGACTTTCAGCTACAGGGTCAGAATGAAATATATTTAAATGGCATGCTTATTGAATTCATAACTACGGTTTTTCCACACTCTGTGGCATTAATTTCTAAGAACCCAGCCTCAGATCTGGGGCTGCTTCCCAGCCCACTCCTGGGATTCCTGCTTGCAGCACTCAGCTGAAACATGAGTTCAGTTACCAAATATAGCCCAGTAGAGTAAGAGAACAGATGAGTGTCTCAGGCCACAGTTGTCTCAGTACCACAGACCAAGCAGTCCTTAATGGACAGGAAAGACCAACCTCCTCTCACCAGGAGACAGAAGAAAAAGCTCCTGTGAAACCCATCGCCTTGGGGAGGCTTCACACTGACCAAGCATTGGAAAGGTCTGTAACGGTACCCTTAACACACTTACTAGTAGGACAATATTTTCAGGACTTTTAAAGCTGGAAATATTTCAGTAGCTTTGGCTGGCACCATGTTACCATGTGGAAAATGCTTGGTTTTCCTTTTATAAGAATAAGAAATGTAATGTTAATTTTGTACTTTTTCCCCAAAACAGGTAACATATAAGCTTTGCTGGATTTCTCTCTGCTCACACTGTCACGCATCTACCTTTGTGTTATAATCTTAGCTGTGCTAAATCATTGTGATAAATACCAAGAGGGTTAAATGTGTTTCTGGATGGAGTCAAATTTATCAAGTGTGTGTGTGTGTGTGTGTGTGTGTCATATTTCATAGTCAGTGAAACTGTAGCCATCTTGACCCTTGTCCATCTTTAAGCTAAAAACTGATGGATTAAGATAATAGATTTTGAGTTTTAAATATCATTCTGAGTTGTCAGTTACCTTTTGAAAGATTTTTGAATAACTTGCAGGGCATAAATAAATTAGTTGGCATAATGACACCAGGCAACAGAAATAATTTTAATACACTTACGAATAAAATACTTCTGACTATGGCCATCCCCAGTGCAGTCTGTCAGGTATAGAGATCATAACACAGCCCTGTATCGTGCTGTTTTTAAGCCACAGAGGAAACTGTCTTGAATCCAATACATGATGCTGGTGCAGAATTATTTCAGACTCATATTACTTTTTAAACAATTTCTAAAAATACTAACTACCTTCTAGTGTAAATACTATGGCCAAATACAGAGTGTACTACTTGGCAATAGAAAACAATTCAAAATCTGTCAAATTGATATGTATACTAAAATCAAGTCCTATTTACATGGTAAAGATACTGTCCAACTATTTCTCAAAGAAATTGAATACGTACTTAAATATTCAGAACTTTAAGGTCACTAACTGGAAGTCCTATCTAGCCATAACATACGTGATTACACATTCCTATTCCTGTTGTTCTGACATCCAGTGTAGGTTGGGGGTCTCTTTATCTTGGCTCTAGGTCTGTTTTTGTCTAGGTTTGTTTATTCTGTGGCTAAAAGTGAATATTTAAATTGCCACAAATCACACTTGACAAGACAGTGAAACTCTAGATCACCCTGGGACCATTGTGACTTATTGGTTTTGTTTTGTTTTGTTTTTTCTTCTTCTTCTTTAAAAAGTATGAAGAGGAAATATTTGTGTTTACCAAATAACGTGGTCTAATTCTTTAAGATATACCAACTGATAAACATGTAAGGCCAGGACAAGAGTCCTCAGTGCTTCAACAGTGTAGTCAGGATCCTGAAAAGGGCACTAGGATTCTTGAATCCATCCAGGGATTAAGGTTATGGAGAGAGAATGGCCCTGGTGAAATTCAAGTAAAGAAACAAACACTAAACAAAGCATTCTGACTACAATTTGCAACTGACCAATCAGCATAATAGAGAACACAGCAACATATTTAGTAAATAGATTTAAATGTCAATGAGAAATGGATGAATTAGAAATAGTATGTATAGTTATTCCAAATGGATTCCATATAAAGAAAATAAAAAGAGCACCAGCAGGAGAAAAACACAAATCCCCCCATTAACACATTATCTGTTATGGAACTGGATGAACTGGCAGATTCTGTCCCTGAAATTAAAATAAAGGGTCTTACTTTGGGAGGAGGATTGTATTTAAAACCATGGGGTAATTTGAGATCTCTTCCTGTAGTGACAATGTACTCAATAATCAAGAAGAGGAAGAGGTCGGGTATTTATTAACAAATGATTATACTCTGCATCAAGTGTAAGATTTTATGGATATTTTCACATTTGGCTTCTCATCTACGGGGCTCTTTACAACAGAATATTACTGAAAGGAGGAGAGAGAAAAGAGAGACAAAAAGAAAGGAAGAAAGCAATAAAAAGCCAGAAATTAGTCTAAGGATTAGCCATGATTCTAAAATAGCAAAAATAAACTTCAGAGATTTTGTTCTTAATTGACCTTCATAGATAGGTTTTATTAATAATGTCAGCAACATTGAATTGTTTAATCAAGAATTACTATTCCTTCTTAGATGTTTACAAACAAACAAATGATGGTACTTATTTAAATATCAAAATCATCTACAATAGAATTTCCCCGGAGATTATGACTTGACTTTTCCATCTCCATCTAAACCCCACCATAAAGCTATGCAGAATTTATTGATTGATTGGCTTGCATTCTTCCAATCCTTCTCATGTATCTATTGCTATGCACATGTGCATTTTTAGGCGGTCATTAAAACATCTCTATCCCTCGCCGAAGTCTCCAAAGTCCCTGGTGATATTAGACAAGACTAAATTATCAAGGAGTCTGTCTCCTTTCTAATATCAGCTTTTCATGAGTCTAGCAGCTCTCTGGGGTCTCTTAAAGTATTCCGCAGATAGTAGCCATTCTCCTCTTACCTAAATTCTTAAGATAATTATGCATACTATCTCCAATGGGAAGAGGGAACTTTGCAGTTACATGCAATCCTCAAGATGGGGGCTGCCATCTCCTAGTGCTACCTATACACTGGCTCAAATATTTGGGCCATTTTGTTTCAGTGTTGAGTAATAAGAATACTAAAGTATTCCCAGCTTTGGTGGTGCACACATTTAATCCCAGCACTTGGGAGGCAGAGGCAGGCGGATCTCTGTGAGTTCGAGGCCAGCCTCCAAAGTCACAGAGAAACCTTGTCTCAAACCCCACCCCCCAAGAAAGAATACTAAAGTCGAAAAATGATGCTAATTCCATCAGTTGTCTACAGGGTCAAATGATTTACTATAAAAATGCCTAACTCAAAAGCACTCGTGGGAAGCCCTGCTTCTACTGTTTGTGAAGAAAAACTTTGCTCTACCGTATGTTGGCTGTGTGTGTCTGCCTTGTCTTTCTTGCATTATTTTAAGCTTGAAAAATGATTCCTATATTAACAGTCAATAGCGCCTTATGTCAACAGAAACATTCTGCAAAGCTTCCTGCAAATATACATGCATAATATATATATAGTATATGTCTAGTGTAGTATATATGTATATAAATACCATATATAATATGTATGTATATATTTTAGTCACAATACAGAGAATTCTCCCAAGTGCTATGAATTTAATCTTTAGATAAACTATGCAAGACAAGGTTATTCAAAATATATAGATGTGTCTATCTTTTCTGTCATTTGCATATTCGCATATGTATGTTAACCATGTATATGTACAAATATACTGCATATTCAGGATCTCAGTAATAAGTGTTTCCGCCAAATACTAGGATTGTAATGCTAAGAATTCATATGTTAGGATGTATGACACATGTGTCAAATACAAAAATCTTCAATATAAACACTATATGCTCTATATTTTGTAGTCTAGAATTCTACAGAATTCAGATGATATTACTCCAAAGAGAAATTGTGAGTCATAAAATTGCATCAATAAAGAATCTTCAAATTAAGTACAATGAGTGGAATGTGTGCAGGAAGTTAAAGCAATATGTGATCGTAGGAGTTTACACTCAGAAGCAATATCTATTTAGAATAAGCAGAATTCTGACGTCTTTCCTGCTCATAATCAGAGGTAGATGAGTGTCTTTGAGCCGTGTGGTACTACTGGCTAGCCTTCCTAAAGTTTTGCAACACCAAATGCTTACTTAAGAGCAAGAAATTGATGTCACAAGTGCATGTCAGACTTTACCTGCAAAGCATTGGATGAGGCACCAGCATCTACTGCTGTGGCACAGGTTGAGGGAGACGAAAACCTGAGCCCAAGCTTTGCTTGCTGCAGTGACCACCCTTATCTCCAATGGTTCTGATGCTCCCTACAGGCACTGCTGCTAAAATGTAAATACACATTTTATCTTATCGTCTTCCGTGTTATTTGTAGCTGTGTGCCACAAGAACAGAGTGTAACTGTCCAAAGTCAATCCAGAAAAGACAAAAGGACATTTAAGTATGGAAAATCCAGAACCGGGCCAGTTTTTCCTAAGTGACTTCTCATGTCTCTTCTATTGCAATGTTAGGTCATGGGCATTGTAGCTCTGTGGTGGGAGATTTAGCACGTCTGAATCCCTGAGTCCCCAATTTCCAGGACCACCAGTAGGAGAAAAATTAAAAGAACATTGCAATGTTAGTCCTTCAGAAGGCAATTTTCTTAGCATAAAATGAAATGTAATTTATAGTAGGCACTTTATTAACTGGATGCTAAGATATTAAACTCAAGGTTTAATTCTAACTTTACTAGGCCCATGTCACGTATGTCACAAAGAGTTACCATCTTTATGCAATGCTCACGGTCTCATACAGGTTGGATATCCTTTGTGTGAAATGCTTCCAACCAGAAATGTCTCACATATTGCGTTTTTTAATTTTTTTGAAATATTTTGAAATAGTTTGAAATAGTTTGGCACTTAGGAGAAGGACCTCAGATCTAAAAGTAAAAGCATTTATGCCTTATATGCACTTTGCATATGTAGCCTGAAAGTATGTGCTTTCCTATTCTTCATGATGTTTTTAATTATCATTTTGAACAATTTGATGCATACAACAGAATTCCATGTTGTCAGGTCAGCATTTAAAAGACTCTAGACTATTCAACTATCTGAGGTTTCAGAATTTTGGACAGAACTGCTCAACACACACTAGAATTTTTGGAATACAGAATACACCAGCCACTTTAGTAGATGTTGATAAGACCTATAAAACTCAGGATCCTTAGAAATAAATGTTTAGTGTACTAATTTATGCATCCAAGCGATCAAATGCTGTACCTCTTACATAAATGTTGGACTTTATTGAATAACAATAAATTTACAAGCAAACCAATGTCTTTGGCTTTAGTTGAGGAAGTATTTCTGATCAGTATCAATGGGCATTAGCAAACACAGGTGCCCAAATCTTTTCCTTAATATTTATTTATTTATTTATTTATTTATGAGGAGTCTTGTGTGTACCATGACATACATGTGGAGCTCAGATCATGGATTTCAAA